GAACTTTCCTCGTCTCCCTCTACAGCATTGGCTTTGCCTTTGTCTGCAGGGTCTTCTTGTTTACTAGAACGACTGGCTCTCTTCTTACGACACACAGAGGCCAAATGTCCTCTCTTCTTACAGAAATGACATTCATAATCTTTAAATCAACACTGAGCAGCTGAATGCTTGCCTCCACAACGATAACAATCTGAATAAGACGAACCAGTAGAACCACCGTTAGAACCACCAGTTGTCGTCTTCTTTGATCCAGTCCCTTGCTTATGATTCATTCGGTTAACAGGTAATTGTGGCTTCTGTCTTTCTTGTAACTGCTTGCAATCGTGTGCAGCAGCCTCTGCTGCCAGGGCAGTGTCTAAAGCAGACTCATAAGTCAACTTCGACTCTTTCAATAGCGACCTTTGAACGGCTTTATCCCTGATGCCACATACAATCCTGTCCCGTAACATGTCAGGCAAGATGTCGTCTTTATATTCACAATACTCTGCAATACTACGTAGAGCAGCCACAAATACTGCTACACTTTCCCCTTCTTCTTGAGAGCGGGTATTGAACTCAAATCTCTTCAATATCGGTGATGGCTTCGGATGAAAGTGCGCCGTTACCATCTTTACTAACTGAGCAAAAGTATAATCTGTTGGCTTCTTCGGCAGAGATAGAGTCTTCGCTAACCGGTAAGTAGCGGGTCCAACATTAGTCAATAGAATAGCGCGTTGTACGTCTCCATTGTCGATACTATTGGCAACAAAGTAGTGCTCTAGACGTTCAGCGTACTCGACCCAGTCCTCCTGTGTAGCATCGAAAGTAGACAACGACCCATGAAAACTACGAGCTGCCATACTTCCAGTCAAATCTTTACGGTCTCAGTTTACCCTCATCGCCAATTTTGTTGTGTATGAGGGATCAGTATTGTCCAACACACACAAACTGCACGCTTGCTAATTTGCTAATAAGACAAGGGACTAAAGTTTAAAGTTTACAAACAAAATCTCTTCTACAACTAACAAACACGTGCTAGAAGTACACACAATGAAACTGTACAGAACAAAAGACCGGCTGGCGCAGGGCCCCAAAATAATAATAATAATAATAATAATAATGAACAATAATAATAATGAATAATAATGAGTATAATGAGTACATGTACTGTGTGTGTATGTATGTACATAATGTAAACATAACAGTGTATGTATGTGTGCGTCAGGTTGGTCAACAGTTGGTCAAAACTGACTGCTGTTTGCAGCGTTCAAGAGAGGTCAGGTAGCTGCCAAAATACAGCATGCCTTCTTGTCGCTGTAGGTAAGAATGGTACACATATTTAATAAAAATGAGCCTG